ATTCAATACAGCCACTGACAAGACAGCCCTTCTGGCTGCAGGCACTGCCACTGTCACCTCCCACCCTTCCTCAGCACTATCCATGCTAGCTGTGATCAGGTCAGTGCTTTAAGCCCAAACAGCAATGCTGCAGGATTAACAGCATTTTTTCCCAAGGAGTCTTGGCTCAATGCCATCATGCCAGTATTTTTAATGCAGAAACTTAAGTTTTGAAAGATGAAAATTTGAATCAATCTTTCAGTCTTCAAGCCAAGGACATAAAAAAGGGCATAATTTTAGTAGCTGAGGCAGTGCATTTCAAATAAGCTCTTTCCCCCAGAACCATAGGAGCAAAAGAGTGCAAGTATGAAAAGAGTATTCTGAAAGTGACATCTTCAGATTCTGCACTCTCTGCAGTTTCAGTGAGGTCATGCAGCTCCTCTTTTGCTTCTTGAAAACTGCTACTAGCAAAAGGATACAAGTTATTAATCAAGCCATAATGTTCACACTGCTCTTACCTTCTCTGGCCTCATAAACATCAACATGGAAACCTCGTTTAGCAAAGAAACATGCATTTAATGCACCCACCTAAAAGAGAAGATGGAAATGACAGATGAAGTTTTAGAGCACTACCAAAATGCTTCTCCTTTGCCATTAGAAAACCACAGCTGAGAGAATAGCTCGGCAGATGCAGGGTGTTCCTTTGACCAAGAGCTGCAGAGGACTTCTTCCTGGAGAGAGAAACGTTGCAGAGCCTCCAAGATCATCACCCCAGAAATTACTCACCACATCTCATTATATAAACATACCAGGTACAGGACTTGTTTACACTCATCAGTAATTGAGCAGAACTAACTCCTTCAACCAGGGGCAGCAGAAGCTGCTACAGGCACGCTCCTTGCTCCTCTCCAGACTATGGGTATGGCTCTAAGGAACATGGTTTAGTGATGGGACTCAATAGTTAGGGATGGCAGCTGGACTTGATGATTTTGAAGGTCTTTTCCAACCTCAGTGGTTCAGCAATTCTGCATTTATCTTCCTCAGTGGAATTCAGGCTGCTGCAGCATTCCCCAGGAAAAAGGGGGAAGGGGGGGGGGGGAAAAAGCTGCACCTGTGTAGAAGTAAGATGCTACCTTAAGAAGGACAGCACATACCCCACTTTTCACTTAAATATGTACCCTCTTTTGTTTTAAATTTCTATCATTAACTGCTGTCAAAATTAGCAAACCGCATACTCTTAGTCTTCCCCTTTTTCCAGCAGCCAGGGGAGTAAGAAGCTAACAGCCAAAATGTTAGGTGGGAGTTTTGGGAGCTGTCATTTAAAGACAGACAGCCCCGCAGGCAGCAATGGAAGAAAAGTGCTCCCAAATGAACATGGAAAAAGGAAGCTATTTTCTCTTATGTTAACATTTATCAAGTCTCAGTCTTCATAAGGCATTTCACAGTAGTGATTTGGTTAAAGCCAGAAACAGCTAAAGCAATGAAAGATTCAGTAGCTGGTCTTGCCTAAAGTGCCCTGAGAGGGCACAATCCAACTTGGGTGTTTTTCCCCTAAAAAACTTCCACTCCTTCACAGGGAAGAAAAGAGGAGTATCCAGAAGTGCACTGTTTTTCTGTCTTGGTACACATGCAGTGCCTGAACAAGGTCTCTGCAGTATCTCAGCAGCAAAGCTTTCCCTCAGAGAAGACCCCCTCTCTTGGTACAAAGTCCCAGCTGTGCAAACAAGACCTGCTGCCTCCTACAATAAGAACACAACCAGATGATAACATCTGCTATCTGTCAGAAGAATAATTTTAAGAAAAATAGGGTTAAAAGGAGCACTGAACTCAGGAGAGAAGGCATTATTTTGTTAATCTGCAGACCAAATCATTTAATGAGCTACAAACAAGCAAGCATTGTACAAAGAGAAAGGCAATGCAGGCAAGCAACTGGATTGCATTTTTCCTTGCCCCCAGCTAAGAAGCAAGGCCTGGCTATGTCTGCAGTGCCCAAAGAAGCCTTCTTGCACTAGAGCTGCCTTTCCGGAGACCTTCATGTTCAAGCTCAGCTTTGCTGAGCAGTCACCCCTTCATTTCCCAGCAATCAAACAGTAGGCAAGCTGCATTTCCTACCAGGCCCCCTCCAATAATGGCAACTTTTTTTCCTTGGACGTTGCTGGACTCCATCACTGTGACAGCAGGCTTTGAGCAGCAGGCAGGCTGGTGTCCTCTCACTGTCGCTGTGCTGTGCTCACCAGAAGGAGGGAGCAGGATGTGGGTGGCTGAGTCAGGCCTGGGCTTTTCTTCCCTAGTTAATGTTAAAGCTCAGCTCTCACCTCACGCTGCAAGAGCACTAGCCTGGCTGGCTGGCAGACGTGCTACTCTGGAATGAATGTGGGCCATTCAGCATAGCCTCTTTTGAAAACAGTGAAGCAATTCTGCAGTCTACAGGTGTCTCGTAAAATGCAACCTTACTGCAGGGAGGAGTTAATTAGGTTGGTTTAGCCAAACACTGGGCATCCAGGAATATGTCCAAATATGTCCACATTTTGCTTGTCCAAAGCAGGGGACAAATGTGTTTTCTAATCCAAAAGTAAACAGATTCTCTGACCTGAAAAAAAGCTTAAGGCCATTGTGGAATTCAGTTCTCCACTATTCCAGTAATGTCTAACCTATAGATATAACCCTAACATACAGTAATTACCATTTGTTGCAAAATGTGCAGTGCACAGCCTGAAACAACACATCTGTCTTGAAAGAGCAAGACCAAAATCTTCACACAAGAATGGTGCAGCCTTCCATTGCATATTCTGGAGCAGTAAGGGCCAGTTGCTTCCAATGGGCCAGGGAACAAGTGCAATGCCAGCAAGGTGAGGGCCTTGCAGGGCAGAGTCCCAGCCCACAGTGCCAGGCAAGGTAAGCAGGTCAGGCCCAGGGTGGCAGCAAAGGGCCCAGGCTGGAAGACAACTCAGTGCAGATGAGACAAACCTGAGGTCAGGACCAAGCTCACTGGTGTCTGTCAGACACAGACTCATAATCACCAGGCACACGTATGGTGACAAATCCACCCTAACTTGTATATGAGCCAGCAGTGTGCTCTTGCAGCCTTGAAGGCCAGGGTTTCCTGGCTGCATCAATAGAGGGGCATAGCAGAGCAAGGGAAGTGGTTTTCTGTCTCTATTCTGCCCTCATAAGGCACCTCCTGCAGTACTGCATACAGTTTTCTTTTCTTGGGGCCAGTGGGCATCCTGATCTGGTGGGAGGCAACCAGCCCATGGCAGGGGCATTGGAACAAGATGATCTCTGAAGTCTCTTCCAACCCAAGCCATGCTGTGATTCTGTGATTCCAAATTATGGAGTCAATATCATGAGAGTCACAGGCCCAGGTTAAAGGGATTGCTTCCCACCCTCAAACTCCAGTCCTGGGAGGGGGCCCAGGTGGGGCTGATCAGGGGTGTTAAAGCCCATTGATGCATTGGCACTGCATGTAAACTTGCTGCCACAGAAGACGCTCTGTAGGATTTTTCTGATGTATGCTACAGTTATTTGACCCATGCAAACTAATTGACTAACACATACCCACCGGAGAGACCTAAAAAGCCTGCCCAAGGCAGGATCAGCTCTCCCTCAGCCCTGTGTCTGCTTGACCTCCAGCTCCCACAGAATGTAGGTCATACAACCCTGTAGATGACCTGTTTCAACACACTATTGCTCCTGTATGCTTCAGAGATCTCTTAGTGCCAAGTTTAAATCACCCTTCTCTGTTTTTAAGTATTTTTTTCATCTCACAGGGATTTCGTGCAGCAAATTGTCACAACAGGGGGGAGAGGGCAGAATGTGAAGTAAGTTTTGCATAGTAAACAGCAGTAAAGTTATTTGTTAATTGTTTTCAGAGCACAAACAGCATTAACTTCCAGCAGTGACAGTTATGTGGAAATATTATTGTTAGCACTCTTTGAACACTTGTTCTGTAAGCTTTACAGATTGCTCCACCACTGTGGCTTACCATTTTAATAACAGCCCTTAAAGATATAGCAGTTAACTCTCGAACTCCTGAAGATAACACAATGTACAGTAATGTTGCTAAAGCTGGTCTTGTAGAACTGCCTTCTTAGACAGCTGGACCAGGGCTGCACAAGCAGCCTTAGCAATGGTTTGCAACTTTGATTCTTTCTGGGGGGAGAGGCCAGTGATGAATGGAGTACCTAGGGGGTGAATACTGGATCTGGTTCTCTGTAACGTCTTCATTAATGATGATGGGGTAATTTACCCCCAGTAAATTCACGGAGGACAGAAAATGAGGGACTTGGGAAATGTTGCCAAAAATATATTTTTTCAGGAATGTCCACAGCTGGACTGACCTCTCACCAAGAGCCCCAGTGCAATGGAAACTCTGAGCACTGATACAGGTTGAAAGTTTTTCTTCCAACATAGTACTGATCAGCTCCTTTCTGTCACACTTATCTGCTTACTTACTGAAAACAGTTCTTGGCAAATGGGACTAAACCTCACCTGTCAGGGGTTATCTATGCCTGGTGCAATATGTTTTGTCCTGGGTAGCCAAATCATTCCAAATATCTTCCTCAGATTTGCTTCAGACTGCACTGAGGAAAAAAAATTATATATAGAAATATGTTCTTTTTAGTTTGGAAGAATATTTCAACAACTATGGCAGCATTTGGGGTCATCAATCTCCTTATCCCTACAGCAGAAAACCCCAGTTTAAAAACAGGCGAATGTGGGAAGACATTGAGAAGGTGCTACTAATTCATGGTTTTTCTTTCTCTATTAAACATAATCAGGCTGCTGATGGAAAGATGTTGCTCATCACTTAGTTATAACTTGGGTCTTCTGAGTTCTAAAACAAAATCAAAAGAACAGGATGGCATGGGTTTTAATGCTTAGCAACTGAAAATTAGTAGGAAAAATAAAAAAGGAAAAAGCGTGGTTTATGTTCCTTAGGAAACAAACAAACAAAAACATGCCAATATTCAAGGAAGGACCTTGGGAATCTTTTTATTTATTTATTTATTTTTCTCCCCAAAGTAAAACCCTGATAAAGCGAGAGAAAGATTGAGAAATACAGAAATATACACAAGTTCAGGCTGCTGAAGTCACCCTCCAACAGCTCTTTGAAAAGAAAACCTTGGATAGCATCATGAATGCGAGGCCTAGAAGAGATTGGGAGAGCCCTCCTGGGGCAGAACACTGCAGATATGAGAGTAGTGATGTTCCACTGAGATGATCAGATGCGATGACTGCAGGAGCTATTTTATTTTTTCTTTTCTCTACTTAAGATTATTTATTCAAATACTACAATCTCTGTCAGCCCATCTAAAGCAAGTAGGGCAGAGTGCTGCTCTTTAACAAAAAAGTGACCTTCTCAGAGGTCACTACAGCCCTCCTGCTACCAAAACCTTGCCATGTAAGCCCAATACAGGAGGAACAGTTTGGTTGAGGAGTTTTGGGAACTGAGCTCCATTCATGAAATCTGGGTTAGTCTGCGCTACCCCCCTTCCCCTCCTCCCCCCCAATGAGGGCTGCAAAGGAGCATTTCTCCAAAGTACACATGAAGGGGACTGGGGACTCAGTCCTGAAGGTGAGCCATACTCATTTGCAATACTAGCGTTATGTTCATTCAATGTTCCAGGGCCACTTTGAGGCTCTCTGGGACAAGATGTCTTGGCTCTTTGGAAAGAGCGCAAAAAAGAAGTGCTGCTGTTGCTCTGGATTTGGAAGATGAAAGAACTGCACTGGCAGAAAGAGGTGAGCAGAATACAGGCACGTGGTACATTTGTTCTGTGGGTCTCCAGTCTTTCTATGCTCATTTATTGTATGGACAATTTGCAGATGCACGGACCATCAGATTATTTAGGAACAGCTCAACAAAAGGTTGAACTCAGCGATGCAATTGTCCACCTTCAGAGGAACACGTGCTGTCAGTATGTGGGCCACCTGCAACAAGAAAAATGACCTTGTTGCGTTTGGTAATAGCCAACACACATGCTTGTCACAGCTACATAAAAACAATAACGATATGTAGGATCTCATAATTCATGCTGAAGAGGGAAAAGGCAGCTTAAAAGCTGTGACAAGATGATTTTACTGATTTCTGCAAACAGCTAAGCAACAGCTCATGGCACTGATACTGGAAGGAGCCATGAGCGCTTTATCAGTAGAGGTTACAAAAGCATGTAAAAGAGGAAGGGGTAGAAATGTATAGCCTCTGCAATTCCATTAAGTAAAGAATCTTTTCAGGAGTCCAAATCCCATGCTAAAGAGGGCCATACAGACACACATGGCAGTAGGTTCCCCATGACAGAGGGTGTGTTTCTATTCTTTCCTTCTGCTCACAAAGCCTTTGGAAAAGATGTAGCACAGACATTAAAGCAGTGATTCCCTGTCCCAAAGTCCCCAGCCACCCAGTCATGCTCTAGCACAGTGTCTTTGAAGAAAGTCCCAGCTTCAGCATGTGAGAACTTCCTAATACTGCTGCTTCCATGACTTTTTAGCTGTCTCCTCATGACACAGTTGGCAAGACCACTGTGCTCTTTGCTCAGATCTAGTTAAGCCACCACACCTTGCCATTAGCAGGCTGGCTCTCTGAGCAGTGGGTCTGCTCACATGCTCATTCAAGCACCAGGCCCTGGTGTCATCTACTTGCGCTAGAAAATAGCCCAGGACAAGATTCCAGGTGCAGAGAAGGCTCAGGCAAGTGAGCCTTGGGAGGAGCAGTCTACTCACCCCCACTTGAGAATCTCAGCAGTGTTGTAAGAATATAAATCCCATGGGAAATGTCAGCCTGAATGCAAAGCATAGGCAGCCCCTACTCAGCAGGCTGAATGGTTCATACCACAGCAATCCAACAACTTACATCTGCATAGCTGGGAGCATGCTGCTGGTCCAACGCTGGGCTGAGGATGCAGGTGGCAGTCCCTCACCTGGCATCAGGAGCCCAGCAGGCATGGCACGGATGGGCAGCCCTGGGGGAGAGTAGTGGTGGTGGTGATGCACTGCAGACAGCCAGGGACGATCTGCTTTCACAGCCACAGGAGCGGTGAGCTGCAGGTCCTTGATGGAGATAAGCAAAGGGGTTTTGGTGGCCCTAGGAAGGATGGTGGGGACTATACGGACACTCTCTGTCTCTCTGCTGCCTCCCTTTCACTTGAGGTGATGCTCAGCACAGCTCTGACGTGTCTGAATAAATGCCAATTCTGCCTTCCATTGCCATAGCAAATCTATCATTTGCATGCTGGCTGTGATGGTGCTGGCTCCCAAGATGTCAATACCCTGAAACATGAGAGCAAGCAGCTGCTGCCAAAGGCTTTCCATCTCAGGCAGGCATTTGGTCTCAACAGGTGCAAAAGCTGTCAGCTCCCAGCTGCACATGTCACAGGGATAGATTATGGAAGATTGTTTCTCACCCCACAGTTTAATATGGGCCACAGGGACTTTTAAGCTATTTATTGCCCTTGTATATAGCAGATAGGAAAGGTGTGAATGAACTGGGCAATTACTGCAGAAGCATGGGATTTGCTTTCTTACTATCTCACTACCTTGATTTTCCAAGACAAGGAACAGAAATCTCTCTTACAGCATGAGGAAAAGTCATGATCAGCTTGAAAATGGAGAGGCTGAAAAAGTACAGGGGAAGACTCTGCAAGACAAGAGATATCCCCAGTCCCTAAAGACTAACAGTCCTTGCTGCTTTGATAGTAAATGCTTCAGAGCAGAGACTAGAAATACATTTTTCCAGAGCACTTAAGATGACTAAGGAGCTAGACAGTATCCTGCTGAATATAGCTTAGGAACTGCGCACCAAAGGATATGTTCAGAATTACCTACCTTTTTTATAGTACTTGGTTCATTTTGGAAAAAATCCTAGAAGGATTTTAATAAAAATGTCTATAAAACCTGTCCTTCCTGACTTTGCTAGTCATTGATTGACAGCATGGGCACCCAACCTTTCGGCTTGCCTGGGCTGCACCGAGCAAATAGGAATTGTCTTGGGCCACATATACATTGCTCTAAAAGTAATGCCTCCTATTTATTTCCACAGAAATTGCAACAGACACAAAGAGCACAACAACACTTTGATAGGACAAATTCTCAGCTATAAAACACTTCTTCAACATGGTCACCATCATTAGCTATGCATTTTCTCCAGTGATGAACAAGAACCTGCATGCTGCGCTCATAGAAATCTGTGCCAGCAGAGGCAATCCACTATTGTCACTGCTGAAGCACACTACCCACCACCTCACTGTGCTCACATCCAGTGTTTGGTTTCCATAAACCTTCAGCAAGCGTTGATGAATGTCAGTGGGTGCCATTTTTTGCACATGGAGGAATGCAGTATCAGACATACTTCCATGTCAGACACTATTCTGACAGAGTGCCACTCTGCTGCTATCTGTCACATGGTAACAACACGTAACAGGAAGGCTCTGTCTCTTCTCCCATACTACAAACATTCACCTCCTACATCATAGGCCAACATCATAAAACAGGAGGCACTACTTTCAGAATAGCCTTTGTGATACATACAATAATTGTTAATATATAAGTAACAAAATATTTTAAGAAAAATATTAAAAATTAAACTTTTTAAAAAAATAATAGAACAACAAAAGCAGAACTGATGGGATATTTGGTCTTGTTTTTGTGAAACTAATGTATCACTCTGGTTTGATGGAAATTACTGCAATTCTTAGTGAGGTCTCAAGGTGCTCAGAGATTTCTTATGAACTATTACTCTTCCTGTACTCCATCCTTGACGATAATCATGCACACTGCCAGAGAGCCATGACATGAACAAGTTGTGATTGTGAAGCAAAGGATATTTCTCTCTGGTAAGATAGGGATTACGAATGTTTGGTAGAGAAACACAATCAGATTTTTCAGTTGAATATCTGATTGCAACTCTACACATTCCCTCCAAAAATTTCTAGGTAATGTACTCATATTGACTGAAAATGGAGTTGCAAACATAAATAGATAAGTTTTTTTCTACAATTCTTTTGAAGCCTGTTCTTCAGTTCCTTTATCAAAATGGAAAGCATAGCCACATACTCTTCACTGTTCCAAGCCCTGGGTTTAGCCAACATAACAAAAAGCATACAATTATTTGCCATCGCTTGAGTCAACACTGCATAGCACTGCTCTCCCCACACCCTGGTTTCTGTCACCACTATGTCAGCAGCATACTGGTGCTTCAGTTGTTGCTGAGCAAAGAGTGCATGCCCAGGCTGCTCCACAGGTTGGACATGCCTGATTTACAGTGAGACAATAGCTAGAGCCAATCAAGTATGACCACAAAAATCTGAGCTTCAGCTCCAGCTGGTTTTGAACCACCAGGTCAAATTTTACCAGTTACAGGATTTGTAACAAGTACTCCCCTATTGCCTGCAGTGAGCAGGCAGAAGTTGAGCCATACTGCTACATACTGACTAGAGGTGAACTACTGGGGCTTTGAAGACACCTGGGGACATCATTACAGATGCTGTATCAGATGTTTCAGCAATAGTCAATAGGAGTTAGGCTCCCAAGTGTAGCAGCAGATGCTCAGTGTAGACCAGTTTGCACTGGTGTGTGAAACATTTTCTGTTGTAGTCCTGCTTAGCAACTTGTAAGGACCTATGTGAAACCTACAGGAAACCCTGGGCAGCAGAACTTTTTTTGTCCAGTCCTCACACACTCCAGAATAACAACTATTGCCCCACATGAGCAGAGATACCCTTTGGACACAGTAACACTACCTGCTGTGTGTGCTGAAGCAGTGGATAGCCGGGTCTGGCAGGCTGTGCAAACGCCATTGGTGGGAGAGACTTCAGCATCATGTTCTGCATGATGATCTGATGCATCTGTGCATTCTGCATCAGCATCATCTCCACCATATCTGGGAAGAAGTGATCCAAAGGAAGAAACTAAGAGCTTTATTAGCAACAGACAAGCAGCAGGGGTATCTCAGTAGGAACTGCCCTCCAGGGTGCAAACTCATGAATGCAGCTGAGATGCAGTAGCTGAAGACGACACATGGCAATATTAGCGTTACACACCCAGATGGTGCAAAATTGATGTCTATGAATAAGACCATCCACACCAGATCCCATTCACAAACAAGGTGCTGTTGAGAAGCATCTTCTGTTAGTTACATCGCAAACCCATCCCTATAGATACAATAACTGGCAGGCTGGAGAAAAGCTGTGCACTGGAGCTCTCAATTGCTCCAGCATGGACTGGAGCCATGTAGCACTCTACACAGCTTTGGTTCAAGATAGCTGTTGCCTACATTGGAAGTTTCCTCAGCTCTACGTAATATTGCAGTGCCACCCTGAGAGTCCACTGCATTTGCATCACATCCACTTAACATAATGCTGGATCATAATTAGTTCCACCGTACACATCCTTTGTATTTTAAATAGGGGAGGAGGAGAGGAGGAAAAGCAAAGCAACTCTTTAACTGATCATACCAAAGATAATTTAAATGTATCAACTTCAGAGAAGTCACGCATGAGCTTGGACTAGTTCATTTACAAAAATAAACTACTATTTGAATAAATTCAGCCACTTAAGCTAAGAAATAATTGAGAAACATAGCACTTCAGTAACTGGATATTTCTTTGTAATGTGACAAAGCCTCTGACTGAGGGATGAGCCAGGGGAGTCAACCCAAATTTTTGTTCAGGTATCATTTCACAGTAGCATCTATGTTCAGAAAAAAAAAATCCTTGTTCTTGGCACTGTACTTTCAGCTATTCTGCCTTCCCCCCTCCCCCAAACACAACACTTTAAGATCTACACTGCTCTAAGGAAATTGAATAGCAGCTTAAGATGGGACAAAAAGAATAAAAAATGGATTTTAAAAGCCTGTTTGTGAATTTTAGAATCATCCGTTTGCATGAGTTTGACCTTGATAAACTCAATGCATTGGATTGAGCAGCTTTTAATTCCCTCAGCTCTTCTGACAGCTCAACTTTGCTTTGCTGAGTTTATAGTTCTCATTTCTTTTGTTTTAGCAAGAAGAGTTTGTCCAAAAGCTTCTGAGAACTCATCTCTATTTTTGCAGAGTGCAATTCCCACATTCCCAACAGCAGCCAAGTAGTGACTGAGCTCATCACTGATCTGAATGCTTTGCAGTGGCTCCTTTTCTGAGTATCACCTGGTACCTTTTCTGGGTATTCCTGGTAGTGGGACCTAACAGCTAGCCCTAGTGAATGGTACCTTCTTTAATGCTTCCAGAGCGAGGATGTGCAAAGGGCTGGGCAGTGGGGATCTGTGCTATCAGTGGGGGTGGCTGTGGGAGCTGCTGGATGATTGTGGCAGGCTGAGGAGGCATCTGGAATAAGAATGGAAAACAGAGAAGTCAGTGCAGGATTCGGCCAGTATTTCCTAGGAGTGACGATCCTTACCGCCTGTTGGATAATCCTTGGTGTTTCAGCTTGAGATGCTGGAAAAGGTATCTGGTAGATGCGTGGGGAACCAGCACTGTAGTTCCTATACTGTCCCCCAGCTGGTGCAGAAGGCTGCGACAGCTCCTCTAGAAGGTGCTGCTCCTGCAAAATCAGGTAACTTCTTTGAAGAAAATCTGATCACAGAAAGACTGGCAGTGTTGTTACATTCATCAGATTAAATAGGCTGAGCCTCTGGGAGTCTGCAGCAGAGTACAGCTTTCCTCACCTACAACACTCCTGAAGAAACTGCTGTGTAACAGGCAGACCTCAAGTGAGTGCTGCATGAAGGGATATCAGAGTTGGAATAAGTGAAAACAAAGTGTTTCTTCCTACATATCTTGAGAGCATACAGTTTTCAGTGGAAGTGGAAAGAAGCGAAGAATAAACTGCTGGAAGTCTAAGAAAATATTTCATTAATACTTGATCCTCTCTACATATGATGTTTAAGTAATAGCTGTCCCTTTTTTGGCAACATTGAAAAGTCCTTTGATTGCATTCTGGAATCCAAAGAGTATGATATAGCAGCTTACAACAAACAGAATCAACACACTAGGTGACTGAGGTGGGTGCAGGCTTTATGTGCTACTGTGGAGGAAGTCCTGTTCAGCTTCCCACCAGCCTCTCCCCATCTCTCTCCTGAGAGCCACACTTCTCACAAAAAAGGCTCAGTGCTTGTTTAAAGTAACATAAGATTTCATCCTTCAAATTCTACTCTAACGCTCATCATGTGACACCTTACACAGTCACACTTGACAGCAAGTACTGCTCTTACCTTAAGCTCCTGCAGGAGATTTTTCCTTCGCTTCAAGGCACTTTGAAGCATATCCTCACGTCTGTTGACTAACAGAGGAAAAGATCATTATATTATTAAAGAATAAATAAGATTACTATAACATTTGCATTATGAGATTAAATTTCGGAAGATATTTTGGGAGATTCCTATAAGATGTACCAGCTTGGTTAGGACTGAGATTTGTAAACAGATAATCAATGCTGTTCATGCTTCACTGAAACTCACATTTGCAACTTCTGATCCCCATGGCTACATACAGATTTAGATGCCTGTGCCAAGCAAAGACAGCACTGACTTAAGTTTGGATCATTCTTCTCATCCACCAGAAAGTGTCCCTATCACAGAAGCTGAGACAGAGTAAATTCCAACTACCAAGACTCCTGGCCTCTAAGCACTCAGAACCAGAGGCCTGTACTGGCTTTTAGAGAGGATATGGGATCACTCAGCGTGATCTATCAAGGAACTCATGACTGAAAGCATCACTAAGCCCTTTCCACTTGAAGCCCACAACCAGAACAAATGCTTTTTCTCTTACTTGCTGTAGGGAGAGGTGACTCCATCTTCTCTAGGTTCTTCTGTTCATTTTCTAGTCTCTAATGGGAAAAAAAAACACAGAAAACCAGTTGCGAGTTAGGCAGAAAAGGTCACAACAATTCAAATAGGTTGGATAGAGAAAATAAATCATAAGTGGAATCAGGGGACACTTCTACTAAATCACAGCTAACAAGATCTGTAAGAAGTATAAAATGCCACGGAACTACAAACCAGTCTCATAGAACACAATGGTAAATGCAACAGTAACAGCAGAGCAACAGCAACAAGACTCCAGGCTGCAGAGAGTGAAGATTTACTCAAATGTAACAGCAGCAAACAGAGGAGAAAAACCCAACCCCCCGCTTACCTCCAAAAGACCTCAGGTATGCAGGAATCTCTAGAGAGATACCTCACCTCCACTGCCAACCCTTAAATGAGGTCTGGGAATGGGTGGATCCTGGCTCTACCTCTTCTGGCCACTCAGGTGTATTGCATGCACCTGAGCTACCCTGGGCAGGCCCTGCCTTCCAACCAGGTGCTTGACTGCTGTTTCAAGCCAAAATGTAGCATTTCTACTACAGTCTCACTATAAATTGAGTTGCAACAAAAGAATAATTATATTTCCAGCTGGTCTGGCCATCTCAGACATGGGAACTGATAACAGAGTGAATCAGGAGGCTTATGCATTGCTTATTTTGTAGGGTAGAGAGCTAGAACATATGGAGAACTTGATTCCAGAGTTTTGGGTATTTGGTGCACTAACAGTCTTAAATGGCTCTGACCAGCCTCATCTGGAATTTCCATCCGTATCCCCTGCCAACATGTGGGGGTGTCCTTATAATCTCAGCTCTAGGTCTTCGGTCCTGTCTGAGCTATACTGAATAAATACTCATCTCCAGTTCATGCAAGCTTGTGACTGGCCATGGGTCTCAGGAACTCTGATCCCAACTTGCAGATGCCTTCCATCTTGGCTTTGGCCCTTCCTTAATACTATAAGCTTGCTTGATGAATCTGGACATTTGGTTGAACCCAGCCACTCTTTCTGGCTCTGCCCTGCTTGGGCCAGTCTTTTTCCTAGCCAGTTGTGCTGTTATCTTTAATTTTCTGATCCTTAGGGACTAGATGGACTTTGTGCCCACCTGATCTCAGAATCGAAGAGCTTTTCCTTAGCACAAGCACACTTTTGGCTACTGAGTTCTACCTACTCCCATACTGGTGAAGGCTTTGTCTTCAAATTACTGCCACATCTAAGACAAACTACTCCACTTCGGAGAGCTGTATTTTAAATTTTAATCGTATATTAAACAATCGTATTTCTACAGATGCAACTTGCTCTGCCTCAGTTTGCATGGTAAACAAGGTTCTCAGTTAGCTGCAGGTCCTTTTTGTTTCTCAGTAGAAATATGATTAAGATACAGTGTTTATACTTAAATGCCTGTAGCAAAAAACAGCAGAGCAAAGGTGACCACTGTAGAATTATTAACTTACCTTTTCTAGGAGTTTCAATTTTAGCTGGGCCACACGATCCACCACTGAAGGATCTGTCATTGTAGCAGTCTTCTGAAAGAGCAGGCAGGCAAAAGCATATTAAATAGCTAAGCAAATGCAGATAAGTTCTCAGTGCTCCTTTCTTCCACAATCTTCATAGAAGAATTTTGTTAGCAAAACAAAAACCAAACAAATAATAAATGAAACAAAACCACCAACAGTAAAACTCAAAACCCAAGACTGGAGAAATGAGAGAAGAAAATAAATGCTTCAATTTCACTGTCAGGTATAAATTAATATAGATGTCTGCCACCATAACAAAGACACAGGTCTTGTTGCTATTCCTCTCAATGTGTTTTTGTGCTTCAGGTTGTGATGGCCACATAACAGTTAGTCAGCTTGAGTATTTGCCTCTCCTTAATTGTTGCTAGCCTCTCACTAGCAGTGTCTCTAAGCCTCTGTGTTGTTAGCTTGGTCTTCTACATACCTTTCAGATTAGCTCCTGTACTTTGGTTGCTAAGTTTGTAATGCCAATCCACAGCATAAACAATTTAATCTCCAGGTGCAGGTACTTGTTTACCCTCTGTGAAGCAAATGCCCAGCACACTAGGAGATGGGGGGAAAAAAAGACGAAACCTTTGTATACATACATATTTAACATAACCCAATGCCAAAGGTCAGATTATGATCCGACTGATTGATACGTGTTAACAATACCTATTGGACTGTTAAGGGTTCATTCACTTTTGACATGGTCCTTCATCTGGATTTTCATGATCAGATAGTAATTTAAAAATTTAAAATGGAGTTAAGGAGAATAGCTGGAACTGATCATAGGATGAGTAAAACAGCAAAGAGGTTGTGTTCGGGCATCCTTTGGATTACCATCTCCTGAGCAGTCTCTGGGGTGCCTTCTCCTTCCCGCATGAAAAGCAAAGCAGCATTTATCACTGACCGCAATAAAACCAATGCTAAGGCATGGGAAAGAAACCAAATTACAGATACTCTGCTCTGCTTCTAGGATAGCAAAGTTACAACCCCATCCTTATTCAAAGGCCATGGCAAAGCCACAGCTGAGCCCCTGCAGGCAGCTGGAGGGGCAGATAGACAATCCTACTCAGCTATGTGGGAGCAGCAGAGATCACCTCCTCCAGCTGTGACCCACACAGCATGTGTGATGTTACTTATGCAATCTGTCCTTAAAAATACAGAGGCAGATAGATACTGGTGAGATTATAGCAACTGTGACGTGGGGGTCCCAAATATAGCTGCATCTTGCCAGACCTGGGGCTCAGCTTGCTTTGGCTCACTTGTGCAGCTAAGAACAATGAGGCAGAACAGAAAACTCTCTCACCTGCCAGCAGTCTGTGGCTTATAGAAAACAAACAAACAAACAAACAAACAAACAAACAAACAAACAAACCTGGGGATGTTTTTTTGTACATTAATTCATGTTTTTGATTCCTTTATCCTCTTGGCATCTGCAATAATCTTTGATAAGGAGTTGCCTAGGTAACTTAACTTTAGCATGGGCCTTGTTATGCAAATAAAGGTTTTAAGTATAAGAAGTTTACCTAGGCAAAGAAAGAAACAAAGAAAAGGTTTGCATTTAGATTGTTTTAAATCTAAATTTCCAAAACTTTTTGTTATACAACATAGTTTGTTACTGTTCTCCATGCACTTTGTGCATACAGTTTGTGGCTTATGTTCCCAAATCACCACATGCAGATGTCACTTCTCTAAGCTAGAGAATCTATTCCCTTCTTCCTCAAATGGCAGCTTTTCCTTATTCATTGATTTCACAAGTCAAGAGAATGAGGCTGGGAGGGCGTAACAGTAGTGCCCAGAAGGATGATTCTTATATCCATCTCTTGAACTCCATCATCAGCCACTCACAGAAGGTGCTGCAACAGCTGCACTTCTGATCAGATTTAGTTTGTCTACGTCAAGTTTTTCCTAGTGAGTTCTCTTTGTACTTTCCTATTTCACGATTTCTTCTGTGACTCAGAGACCAGAGTTGCCTGCAGTATTCAGGCGGTGATGCAGCCCAGTTAGAGCTTAGTTGGTGTCTCCAGACAACCACAATAGCAACAAGCTTGCTATTAGTCATTACTGATGCTGCAGTAACTGTTGCTTCCTGCTCAGATGGGGCTTTACAGTAACTTTTCTAATCACTGAGGAATTTTGAGCAGATGCTTTACCGCTAATTGTTTCTTTAAGCATCCCCTAGAAGTTAAGTTTCTAAACCCTTCATTGCAATAGGTATAGAGGGTGACAAGAAAGGTTGACAAAAACAGCCCAGTTGAAGTATTTAATTAAAAATATAGTGAGTGTGTTAAGTAACAGAGATGACTGTTAGAGGACAGAAAGCTTTGCTCGATGTGACAGTGTCCCAGAGAAAATCTAATGCCTGCTAAAAAATGCTTTCCAGAACTTACGGATGCTCTGGTTACAGTGGGATCCCTACCACATGGACATCTTCCAGCCTGCTGATGACTTGCCAGCAGACTGTCAGTGACACACAAACGGGCCTTACACAAAAGGTGTTTCTGCAGTTACTGTGCATCATGATCAGAAATGAACATGAAGATCCAAAAAAAGAAAAGCCAGACAAATTTAATTCTGAAAAATATTAGCAGGAGTATTATGTGCATCTCACAGGAGGTAATTATTCTGCTCTGTTTAGCAGTGCTGAAGTCATAGGTTGAAGTCACTGTGTCTAATTTTAGACATAGCAGCATCAGAGGAAAAGGAAGTCCAGGGGAAAAAATAGTAGCAGTGGTAGATTTACAAAATACAAGATCTGAAAAAGACTTTGAAGGATTTTTATGATGTTTAATTTATTAATTAAATGATGAGATGGAGCCAGTTAGTGATATAAATGAAAGAATATTAAGGACACAGTCAATTTATTTTAGAGTCTGAAAAGACTGAGCAAGAAACACTTGGCTTGATGAGGAAAATGAAAACCTGTTGAAAACAAGCAAAAAAATCTTAATTATACAATATTAAGTGATGGTGCTGCTATGTAAGAAAGGGCTTTCACAGAATGGACTTTCACAGAACGTGTTTATAAACAATTTACAAAAGCAGTTGTGATGAATACTGCAGGTGGATAAGATCCCTTTCAAGATACAGGAATGGATTAGATGGTGAGCTCCAAACCAGGACTACACTTCTATGCTGCCTTTTATTGATTTTGATACTCTATGCCTAGATTTTAATTACTATTTTCTAAAACACGCTGGAAAAGGAACCAAACAGACACACCTGGAAATATCAGGACACAATAAGCTCCTGTGCTCTGGTTCCACAGGTTAGACTTTTTATGATTTCAATCTTAGGAGGAGTTATTTCTTTATTCAGAAGGTTAAAAGAATGGGAAAAAAAAAAAAAAAGAAAAAGAAACAAACACATAGAGACTTGTCCACACTAGTGGACAAGTACATGTAATTTCCTTCCAGTCAGTTGCCTCCTTCTGCCCATTGTAATGCTGCAATTCAACAGCCAAGAGCTCTCATGTTGCACTTTGGAGCCTGAAGTGGAAGATAAGAAATACTGAAGACACTTCACTTAATTCCTGACTCCCATGTTGTGTGGACCAGCATACTTGCTGACACCAGACACAGAAGAATTGAAGGCTGACTGTATCTCTCGGTGAAAGACACTTACATGGTTTCAGAGCGCTACAATGACTTATCCTGCATGGATGAGCTAATGCTGCCATTGTTCCTCTGTTAGAGACCATTTCCAACAGACTAGGAGGATGCTTTTTGCTTGTAAATATTGTAAAAAAAAGACCAAAAAAAAACCAACAACACACCTGTCTTCATTGTAAGCTAAATATATGGATAAAAATGTTTTAGAGTTATTCAATGCCATTGTCATATAACAATGTGCAACGTTCATTTTTACTGTTATTTTCAAAAACAGTGAATCCAGTTTGATACTGGATTCTTATGATTTATTCT